GCCCGTCCCGCCGATGGCACCGCGCTGCCGCCGCCAAGTAAGGGGACAGCGCGGGGGGACGCGGGGCTGGGCGGGGGGGGTGGCGATGTCTTGGGCTCACCCCTTTCCGTCGTGGGGAATCCCCCAGATTCGCTCGGAATCCCCCACCCCAGGCGGGAGAGGCTCGGCAGCGCTCCCCGGTCCCCGTGTGCTGCCCTCGGAGTCCGCGACCCTTCCCCGGGCCAGCCCCGACCCCTTCCCCTGCGGTTTCGGGAGCGGGACAGCGCTGGGATTGGGGAATCGGGATTCCCTGGCGTGTGGTTCCACTCCTGAGGAGAGCTTCCCGAAGGGTGGAGAGAGGGCAGCGTACCCCTGTCTGCAGGGTGAGGAGGATGGCAGCCAGGGGCTACACCACCCTAAAGCACCCTACAGCACCCTAAACCCCCCTACACCACCGTCACTGGTGTCTCACCGTGTGCTGGTTCTCAGCCGGGCTATAAAACCAGCCGTGCTTTGGCTGGGCAGAAGAACAGCCCAATCCAGCTGCTCCTGTGTGTTGCCAGGCTGGAAAAGCTCGTTAGTGTCTTTCTTGTTAAGTAGAAATTGCTGGGGCCGTTGGCTTTGGAGGACTTTGGAAGGGCTGAGGCGGTGCTGGTGTGGCTGGCCCGTGGAAGGGGGCTGGATGTGACTTGTTCTGCAGGTTGTGTTGGGGGATGAAAGGGGAGAATGCCGTTCCAAGCTACCAGGAAGCAGCTTCATCCTGCACAAGGTGTGGTTATAACCCTCTGGACTCGTGGCCGCGGGATTCCTGCAGGGAGAGAGAGACAGGGCTTCCATCTGGCAGGTTTGGAGGTGTCCTGAAGTGCTGGGCTTACATGAGCAAGGAGATGGAGGTGGGATCCTGGGGTGGATCCCAGTCCTTCCAAATGCTGCAGGCCCAGCATTTGCTGCCCTGTCTGGAGTGGGAAAGGGCTTTTCCATGAGACCAGGTCTGCTTTGAGTGGGACCTGCAGGTCCAAGGGGAAGGGTCTTGCTCCAGAGGTATCCCAGCTCAGATCCAGTCTGCTCTGAACTCAGCCAGCAAAATTATTCTCTGAAAATCCAGCAGTACTAAGTCAGGAAGTTGTTGGTGTCTCTGGGGGATGAGCTGAGCTGTCCTGGCCTTGGCGGTGGGTGAGTTCCAAGGAAGGCTGTGCTGCCACAAGGTTGAGCCAAGCTCTCCCAGCACCCAGCTGGGAATTGGTGCAGCCACAGCCCAGCCCTGGCTGCAGCCTCCCACCTTCCCTGTGTCACTGCTGCCTGGATGCTCCAGGCACCCCTGCCAGCACCTATTATCATCCTGGTGCCATGAGGGTCTCCAGAGCAGAGCTGGTGTGAGGCACCTGGACAGCGTGCCTTGCTCTGTGTGGGTGTTGGTCAAAGGGTCAGGGGAATGTGTAGACAGCAACAGGTTTGGAGAATGGAAAAACCCAATCCTGAGTGTCCTCCCGGGCTGGCAAAATGCAGAGAAGTGCCTTCTCCTGTGGCTGCAGAAAATAGTTTGAGCGTGACTTGGTTGGGGTTTGTTTGCTGCAGTGGGACAGGAGGGATTTATACTCCACCCACCGCCTCAGGGGCCTCTCCCCATCCAACACAAAAATAGGCTGATCTTTCCAAAAGATGGTGGGGGAGGCCTGGAAAATGCCATTCCTGCAGGGACCTGCCACGCTTGTGCCCCAGGAGATGTGGCACATGACTGTGGCTTCTGCAAGCCCGGGCAGGGAAGCAGGGACGAGCCCAGCGTCGTTCCCTGCTGTATCCCACTGCTGCCAGAGCCTCTGCACGTGTGTGTGAGCTCAGCAGCAGTGGTGCCTCCTCCTGCCACCTCCTGCAGCTCAAGGAGCCCATGGTTTCCTTGCTAGAGGGCATCTGGAGCAGGAATCTCCTGTGGGGCAGGTGCTGCAGCCCCCTCCGCACATTCCTGTGGAGCTGATGGGAGGCTGGAGGCTCTGCCAGCACCTGGCAGCTGCCAGCCCAGCCCAGCCCAGCCCATTGTCTGTGGTGCTGTGCCCCAGCGTGGGCAGGGCTGGGACCCATCAGTAGCTGTGGCAGAGGCTCCCAATGACCCCAGGGCTGTGGGATGAGGAGCTGGGTCCTCCATCCACAGCAGCACCTGGGGCTGGGCAAGAGGCTCCAGGCAGGGATGTCTGGCTGGGAAATCAGCTCCTGTGCCATCCCACTGCTGCTCCTGGGATTCCCCATCCCTAATACCAGAGGGACAGCCCTTTCTTAGGGACATGGGCTGTGGCTTGGTCCTGCCTGGTGTCCAGGCTCCAGTCCCCACCGTGGGCTGGCCATGGCTCACTCCAGCCTGGCATTTCATTTCCCTGTTGATGCATTTCAGGCCCTACATGGCTGCGCCCTGGCTCCCTCCAACAGAGCTGCACCCATCCCTGCTCCCAGCAGCTCCTCTTCCATCCCTGCAGCTGCCAGGGTGTTCCAGCAGCTCCCCAGGAGCTCCAGCCCTGCTCATTCCCTCCCAGGGAGGTTTGGGAGGCCCCGGGGTCCCCCTGTCCTGTCCATCCTCCCCCGTTCTGAGTCAGGGCACGCCGGTGAGCGCCTCCAGGCAGGGTAATCCGGTGTTATTTGTAACACTAGTAGGGAGCTATTTTTAGAGAGAGGCAAATTTGATTTAACAGAACATAATTTGCCGCTGACAATTCAGAGGGCGGCCAAACGAGGAGCAGCTGGATTCCTGAGGAGGCTTTTCCCTGCCCTTCCTGAAACCCGAGGCTGACGTGCCACCAGTGGCATTTGTTATTCCAGCAATTGCTGGGGGAAAGCCCCTTGGGATGGCCCAATTAGCTCTGCTTTGCTTTCCTCCTGGAGCTTTGTTCTACCCCATCACCCCCCAGTAAAGGAAGCCAGGGATGGTTTTGCTGCCCTCAGTGCCCCCAAACTCCTCTGGGGAGCTGGAGCCAGCCAGGTCCCCCCCTTTGCCTTTTCTTCTGCACTCTCAGCCTCTCCTTGGGTAAGTTTAGGATAAAAAAAGAGGTTCTGATCAAATCAAACAGCTTGTGTGCCAGGAAAGTGGAGTCTGTGTGCGTTCCTGGGCATTTCTTACGGGCTGAGCTCTTCTGGACCAGCCTCAGAGGTGCTTTGGGACAGACCCATCATCCAGCATAGGAGCAAACACCATCTTCTTGCTTGTGCTTGCAGCAAGATGAAGATCCCCACAAAAGCAAAGGCATTGGGTTGTTTTTCCCTAGCCATAGCCCTGCTGTGTCCAGCCTGTCCCCAGCTGGTGGCACAGGGCTGGGATAGTCACAGGCTGCAGGCGAGTTGCCGTGGGGCTGCAGGGCCCCAGTGAGCATGGGAAGGTGAGATTTTCCCCAGGATTGGTGTTATCCCACCAGGAATAACATTCCAGTGAGAGCACTGCTCCCTGTCCTGGGCAGGAACAGCCCCTTGAGGGGTCCCCAGAGCCCTCCAGGCAGCCTCAGGGGCAGCCAAGAAGTGCCAGGCCATGGAGGGGTGCAACAAGAGCCCAGTGGCTTTGTCCTCCTGGGGGAAAGGACTGGACAGGACTAAGGAGGGTTGTGCCATTGAACTCTGGCAAAGGCTTTGGTGGGCTCCTCTCTGTGTGCAGCCACTCCCTGCAGCTGGAAACCCCTTGGCAGCCATGCAGGCAGCCCTCAGGGGTCCCCATCCTCCCCACAGCCCCAAAGAGGGTTTGCTCCTTCCTCTGCCAACACCAGGCTTTGCCCCTGGGACCATCTCTTGCCCTGGAGCATTTTCAACAGCTGAATGTAGAGCCAGAATAGCATTAGTGAGAATATGAGAATAGCATTAGTGCAGAGATGTGGGCAAAGTCCTGGGGATGGGGGGTGAAGTGACTGCTCCTGGTGCACCCCCAAGTGTGAATGTCCCTAGGGACTCTGTGTGGGGTTGGTGTGGCATGTGGGACCCGAGGGCTCCCCAGAATTACTTGTTCCTCTTAATCAAAGGTGTTTTTCTGTGAATGGAAAGGTGCAGCCAGCTGGGGGATGTGGGTGCTCCCCAAGCACCATCCCAAGCCCTGGGATCTTGCCCAGCTCATCCTTGCTCTGCTTTCTCCAGTCTGTCAGCTTAGGCTGGTGGAAACTGGGAGCCAATATTTAACAGGGAAGCAGCCCTAAAATGGAGATCAAACTCCTTGGAGAGCAACCACCTCCTCCAAATGCTGCCCTTTGCCTGATGACCAATTTGGTTAAATGAAAAAGACTAAAAATTTGTGAAGCCTACAAATGGGTGGCCTGGAGAGAGCCCTTTGCTCAGGGTTATTCTGTGGCACAGGTCTTTCTGTGGCACTGTAGATTTTCATTTACAATGATTCTCTGGAAGGAAACACCAGCTTCAAAGGTGCAGGAGCACGCTGGAAGTTTGTATTCCCTGCTTCCAGCTTTTGCATCTTCTTTAAATAATCGTGCCCTTCCTCCTGCTCCCCTTGCTGGGTTCCCCTGGGAAGTGCTGGGCGTGACAAGTTCCTTTCCTTGGCCTCTGTCAGCCCTGGCCTCACGTGGTCTGGCCATGGGAGTTGTGGCTGTGGGGTGGCACTGGGCTGGCTCTGTGGCAGAGCACACCAAGGGGACACCAGTGAGGTGCCCTGAGCCCTCCTTGTGCTCAGCCCCATTTCCCTGCAGCTCACACACTCTGCTCCCCATCCCCTGGGGTTCAGATCCCCCACATCAGCAGTGGGGCAAAGCCCCCCTGGCACCCCATTTCCAAGCTCCCACTACTGAAGGTGACTGTCCCCAGGGACAGCAGGACCCTGTCTCTGCCTCCTGCTGACCCCTCCTCTCTCTGTGTCCCCTCCAGGCCGACCAGGTGCCCTGAAGCTCTGGGCTGGCTTCCCCCAGGCTCAGCAGGATGATGCCAGCAGTGCCAGAGCCACCCCTGCCCCTGGTCCTGCCGATGTGACCGAGCTCTGCTGGGACCTGTGGCACTGAGGCTGGCACTGAGGCAGTGGCTGGTGGCCCCTGCAGTGTCCCTGCTGCCCCAAGATGAGTGATGGCACGTGGATCTCGCTGAGCCCCGCTGAGTTTGCCCAGCTCCAGCAGTACACAGACTGTGAGTACCCTGGCACGAGAGGGTGGGATGAGCTGAAAAGTGCTGCTGATCTGTGCTGGACTCGTGTCCTACCTCTCCTCAGTGTCCTCCTGGACAACTCGGTGATTCCTTAGGTTTTTATGAAGCCCCTGACCCCTCAGCCAGGCTGTGTGGGGTCCCTGTGCCTGCCTGGCTGGGAGGATGGAGCTGAGCTCTGGGGGCTGCACACGTGAGCTGGGCTCAGTCCGTCTGAAGGCGGCGGCTCCCACGTTCTCAGCAGAGTGAAATGCCAAGCAGGAAAAGCAGCCTGGCTTTTCCCAAACACACCAGAGCAGCTCCACAGCGTGCTTTGGGCTGCCAGCCCTCTGCAGTAATTTTCCTTAGTGCTTTTGCAGAGCAATTCTCTGCTGCAGCTCCTGCTGAGGAAAGGAGATGTGCAGCAGCACCAAAGGGGTCCTGGAGCTGGGGGGTGCTGCAGACAGAGCCTGGGTGGAGGCCAGAGGTCCAAAACCAGGTCCTTGAGGTCCAAAACCAGGTCCTTGAGGTCCTGCCTGCCACAGAGCTGGAGTGTGGGCGTGCTTTTTACAGCAGAGGATGGAGAAGCAGTGCAGCTCGTGAAGGTGCTGAGAGCAGGGCAGGGTAGGGCAGGAAAACCACAGGGTGAAGGGAGAAGGGTGTGAAATCACAAGGGTGCTGCTTTGCATTGTTTGCAATTGTCATCACCCTGGGGTGAGCAGGCTGGCTGGGAGGTGACTGAGAGCCAAAGGGGACACAGTGAGCTCTCTGAGGCTGTCCTTGGGGATGCTGTACATCAAAAGGGGCTGGGGACAACTTCCTCATGGCCATCCCACCCCAGCCCACCCTGCTGAGAGCATTTTGGGGCATTGCCTTGCCAGGCAGAGTCTGGGGAGGATTTGTTCTCCCCCTCAAAGCAAATGACTTGGCCAGCATGGGGATGGGACAGCTCTGTGCCCTCTTGCTCTCCTCCAAAGAAGGTTGGGGTTATTTTTTCCAAGGGGATTATTTTTTCCAGAGGCCTCAGGCAGGGCTGCAGGCAGAGGTGTGTGTGTGCAGTATCCCTCTCTGCATCTCATTCTGCCTCTCTGGAGGATGATGAGCTTTGCTTTCCTGAATCCCAGACCATGGAACACCCTCTGTAACACTGGCCTCAGAACCCTGATGGCATCTCAGTTCCATGAACCAAAGTGTGGCCAGCAAGGCTGCAGCAGGGGCAGCTGCCTTCTCCCCTGTAGGATGGCTCAGCACTGGGCTGGGGAATGGGATTGGGGGTCTCTAAAGAGGGCCAGGATCCCTCTCCTTGAGTGCCCCAGACAGCTGTGGGCCAGTGCCAAGTTCTGTCCCCAGCAGAGGGCTGGGGGATCAGAGCCAGCACAGCCCTCACATGGAGAGAGGATTTCCCAGTAATTAACAAGGCTGCTGTGTCTGAGAACCTTTTAATTGCACGTGCCCAGGGATGTGTGTGAGGTGAGGGCTGAATGTTCACTCACATTGATCTTTTTTTCTGCTTTTCCCTTTTTTTCCCTTATTTTGAAATGATGAATGTCCCTCCAGACACTCCAGGCTTAAGGACACTCAGCCAGGGTGTGTTTACCACTTGTGTGGAAGTTTGCATGGACAAATCCAGTGGCAGGACAAGAAGGAATGGCCACAAGCTACACTAGGGGAGGTTCAGATTGGATATTCAGGAAAATTTCTTCCCCAAAAGGGAAGTCAAGCACTGAACCAGGCTGTCCAGGGCAGTGGTGAAGTCACCATCCCTGGGGTTATTTCAAAGCCATGGAGATGTGGGACATTTCTATCTTTGTGCTGGTTAATGGTTGGACTTGATGATCTTAGAGGGCTTTTCTGACCTAAATGATTCTGTGATTCTGTGAATACAGTTCTATTTCTCCCTCCTGGCACCTCCTGGAGATACCAATGGGCATGCCAAGGCAGCCTGTGGGATGAGTGGCCCTGCCAGGGGTGCCAGCAGCCACTGGGGCAGGGACATGCAGGGTGTGCTGAGCACGCCAGGGCGGCTGGGACTGGAGTGTGATCCACACCTTCCTTGCTTTGTTCTGGGCCTGTGCTTATTTTCATACTGGCAAGAGGAAGTCCTCTGTGTATGTAAAGCTCCCAGCTTTCCATATCTGCCCTGCCCTTGAAGGTGGAAGGGGAAGCAGAGCACGGCCAGCCTCTTCCCGGCACGGAAGGATCCAGAAATTGTACATCCAGCCCATAAACCCCTCTGCAGCACCCTGCTGGTGGATGAGAGAGGCAGCCCAGCAGGGCCATGCTCAGCAAGGTGCTTTTCTCTCCCCAGACTCCAGCAAGAAGCTGAAGGATGTTCTGGAGGAGTTCCACGGGGATGGGGTCCTCTCGAGGTACAACCCCGAACAGGTACGGCCCCGTGCCCGCCGCTGTCCCCCCGTGCTGCTGGCAGCCCCCAGCCCCCTGCAGCTCCCCCAGCCCAGCTCCCCCAGCTGGGAGCAGCCAGGAGAAGGCAGGGCTGCCTGCTGGCCCCCAGCTCTCCCCGTGGTTTTGCACCCAGGACTTGATTCCCTGCCCAACCCTGGACCGTGCCTGCTGCATGGCCATCCCACCCCAGCCCACCCTGCTGAGAGATTTTTGGGGCAGTGCCTTGCCAGGCAGAGTCTGGGGAGGATTTGCTCTCCCCCCTAAAAGCAAATGGCTTGGCCAGCATGGGGATGGGACAGCTCTGTGCCCTCTTGCTCTCCTCCAAAGAAGGCTGGGATTATTTTTTCCAAGCGGTGCTTTCAGAGGGACCTGTAGGTGTGCCAGGGCTGTAATCACTGGAATCAAGGCAAAATGAGAAAAATCAGTGGGCTGAACATGCAAGGAGGGGCACAAAGGTACCTTGTGTCCTGTGGGGCTGTAATCACTGGAATTAAGACAAAAGGAGAAAAATCAGTGGGCTGAACATGCAAGGAGGGGCACAAAGGTACCTTGTTATTCCAGGGCACCACAGGACCCTCACTCCAGCTGGGGCTACAGAAACCATTGAGAAATCATCATCCTCACACAATGGCACTGCCCAGCAGGGAAGGAGGGGGCACAGAGTCCCCAGGAGGAGGACAGTCCCCATGGGGCTGGAAAGTTCCACTGCTCTGCCCTTTCCTGCCTCTCTGTGACCATGTTCACAGGGGTCTGAGGATGAGGGAAGAGATGAGGATCTGACTCCATGTTTCAGAAGGCTGATTTATTATTTTGTGATATATATTACATTAAAACTACACTAAAAGAATAGAAGAAAAGGTTTCCTCAGAAGGCTGGCTAAGCTAAGAATAGAAAGGAATGATAACAAAGGTTTGTGGCTCGGACTCTCTGTCTGAGCCAGCTGACTGTGATTGGCCATTAATCAGAAACAAGCACATGAGACCAATCCCAGATGCACCTGTTGCATTCCATAGCAGCAGATAACCATTGGTTACATTTTGTTCCTGAGGTCTCTCAGCTTCTCAGGAGGAAAAATCCTAAGGAAAGGATTTTCCATAAAAGATGTCTGTGACACCACTCCCCCAGCTCCTGCTGTCCCCTGGCTCAGCCACACTGGCACTGGGCATTGCTGGGTCCCTTCAGGTTACCCCAGCCACTGGGATTTGGGAAAGCAGCAGCTTTGGGGAGGGCTCTGCAGCTGCTGTGCCCAGTGAGGGGGCCCAGGCCATGCAGCCCCTCATGGTGACCTGGGCCACCTCCATCCTACTCCTCCTCCTCCTCCTCCTCCTCCTCCTCTGTCTGCTCCCCAGCCCATCGACTACGAGGGCTTCTGCCTCTTCATGAAGACCTACCTGGAGGCTGACGTGCCTGAGGAGCTCTGCCAGCACCTCTTCACTTCCTTCAAGCGCAAGATCTGCCCAGCCTCCCCCGAGAGCCAGCAGCAGAGCCCTGGAGTGTCCCAGCACAGCAGCCTGGGTGAGCCAGCCCTGCCACCCAGGGGGCACTGGGGCACCCTGACACACTCCCACCCTGCCCACAGGAGTGAAGGCTGGGGGTGGCACCTGAAGGTGCCAATGTTATGGTGTAGTGTCAGTGCTTCTATGAAAATATATATATTTTTTTTTAAGGTTTGCTGTGAGATGTGACTAGAAATAGAGCAAAGTAGGCTTTAGCTTAGGAATAAAGGGAAGAACTTTGTTAATTTACAATATGAACACGCAGAACTTAGAATGTGAACTTTCTAGAAATTTTTGTTTTCTTCTTTCTAATTTTTAACAGTACACAGTGAGACAAAACTTTGGATTTTTAATTTAGTTACTACTTTTTAGAGAATCGACTCTCAGTTCATCACTACTTTTTAGATAATCAACTTTTAGTTTCTTAAGAAGAGAAGAGGTTTTTTTTGTACTATAGGCATTTTTAGGAACCACAGTTGAAACTTTTTCTGTTTTTATGTTACACATGGCACTGTTTGGAGAATATTTGCTATTGTGACTTTTTTTTTAATGTTTAGTGTTTTTACTCCTGTGCATGGACTAGGGCTGCTTTTAGGGTTTTTCTTTTAAGGATGTTTTGCTTAGTTTTAAAAAAGTAACAGTTTTTTATTTTTGGGACACTAGGGATTTTTTTTAATTTATTTTTTGGGGTTGAGGGGTTTTGAGAACAGAGATTTATTTATTTTTTTTCCTGTGGCATACAGACACATATAGACAACCCCACCTGTCAGATGGGCTGCCAAGGCTGCTGCAGGGAGGGATTTCTCCAGGATGCAATGGAGAAAGTGCAGAGGAAAGGACATTCAGAGCCCAGGTCACTGTGTCAGCATCTCTGTCAGGCTGGGGTGGCCTGTGCCTGTGTCACAGGTGCCAGCAGCCCCGTGCACCCAGAGCAGGCCGTGAGTGCCAGGCACCCAGCTCAGCCTGGGTGCATTCCTGGCTGCTGGGGACATCTGCTGAAAGGACTATAAACTGCAAAGGGAAAGGGAGCACGTCCCCAGCTCTGGCTGGTGATGGAGGAGCACATGCTCCCTGCCTGCTCTGAGCACTGTGGTGTCCATCACCCGGGCATGGGAGCACTGCTGGGCCAGGCAGGAGGGTCAGGAGGGTGGGGAGCTGCCTGTGCTGCCCCTCAGAGAGCCCTGGGGCTGGGCTGCCAGGGCAGAGAGGCTTGGGCTAGCACAGAGGGCACGGGGTGAGCACCCAGCACCAGTTCCTGAAGGAAGGGACGTGGACACCCTGGTGTCACACTGCCCTTGGGCCTGTCTGCTTGCAGGGATCAATGGGAAAAGCCTCCGCAGTGCTCTGGGACGACACACTCCAGAGCCCAAGGGCAGCTCAGCTGAGCCCCAGCCAGCATCCCTCACCCTGGCATCCATCCCCAATGCCTCCCCCAGCTGGTCCAGATCATCCTCCCAGAAATCCACCACTGGCACCACCTCTGCTCACAACTCCTCAGGCTCTTCCAAGATCTCCTCCGTGTCTCTGCTCAACCCTCAGTCACCAGGTGAGCTTGGCTGGGGCTCCACTGGGGCAGTGACAAGTGACAAGCCCTGCCCAGCTTCTGGTCAAGTCCCCAGCGTGGTGGCAGTGACCTCCCAAACTCACTGGGTTCCTGGCATCTTGACAGACTTAATCTACAGATCCCATCCCACAGAGCCCCCATCAGTGATGTCCTAATGAGCTGGCAGCATCTTTAGGGAGGGGGAATGGGGCAGTGAGTCACAGCTGCCCCTTGCCCCAGCCCCTGAGGAAGGGCCCCTCTGCCAGGAGCATCCCTCCTGCTCTTGGCACAGGCATCAGTGAGCGTGGGCTGTCCTGGCACCCTGGCAAGCTGCCTTGCTGCCCACTGAGCTTCTGCCTCCCTCTGGCTGGATGCTGGTTCCCATCAGGACACATTTCTCCAGCTGCCCATCCTGCCCATGGCTGCAGGGATGGAGGAGTGGCAGTCTGCTGTGTTAGCAGGGACCCCTGTGGCGGGGAGGGAGGAATGAGCATCTGACTCCATGTTCTCAGAAGGCTCATTTATTACTTTATTATACTATGTTATGTTAAAGAATGCTATACTATAGTAAAGAATACAGAAAGGATACAGACAGAAGGCTAAAAAGATAATAATGAAAACTCGTGACTCTTTCCAGAGTCCTGACACAGCTTGGCTCTGATTGGCCAAAGAGTGGAAACAACTCACAGCAGAATCCAATGAAACAATCACCTGTGGGTAAACAATCTCCAAACACATTCCACATGAGCACAACACAGGAGAAGCAAATGAGATGAGAATTGTTTCCCTTTTTCTCTGAGGCTTCTCAGCTTCCCAGGACAAAAAGAGATTATTTCAGAGAATGTGAATGCCACGGGGGTCTGCACCCCAAGGACTGAGTGGCACTGCCCAGCCCTGAGCCTGTGATGGCACCAGCCCCAAATCTGCTTTGTGCCCCCAGGCCTGCAATGGCACCCAGCCCCAAGTGCCCTTTTTATGCCCCCCATTCCTGTGTCCCCTCTGTGTCCCAGCCCTGTCCCTGTGGTGTCACTCGGTCCCACTCCGAATGGATCCCTCCCCAATGTTCCCATGTCCCACCTGGTGACAATTCCTGCTCCAGTGTCATCCCTGTGTGTGTCCCTGCCCACAGGCACGAGGAGCGTGGAGAAGAGGTTGCCCTTCAGCCTGAGGAAAGGCTCCAGCTCCCTGAAGGCCACCCCTCCTCCTCCTCCCACCCCCGTGGCCCAGGTGGTGCACCTGAAGGACATTGTCTGCTACCTGTCCCTGCTGGAGAGGGGACGAGCAGAGGACAAGCTGGAGTGTAAGTGTCACCCTGGGCTGGGGAGGGGGACCAGGGGCTCAGGCTGTCACCTGCAGGGGGCTCTGGCTGCTCCTGTCCACTTGGAAAATGCCCTCAGCATCCCCTTCTGCTCCTGCCTGTGTCTGTACTACTTGTGTGGAAGTTTGCATGGACAAATCCAGTGGCAGGACAAGAAGAAATGGCCACAAGCTACACTAGGGGAGGTTCAGATTGGATATTCAGGAAAATTTCTTCCCCAAAAGGGAAGTCAAGCTCTGAACCAGGCTGTCCAGGGCAGTGGTGAAGTCACCATCCCTGGGGTTATTTCAAAGCCATGGAGATGTGGGACATTTCTATCTTTGTGCTGGTTAATGGTTGGACTTGATGATCTTAGAAGTGTTTTCCAATATAATTTATTCTGTGGTTCTGTGAATACAGTTCTATTTCTCCCTCCTGGCACCTCCTGGAGACACCAATGGGCATGCCAAGGCAGCCTGTGGGATGAGTGGCCCTTCCAGGGGGTGCCAGCAGCCACTGGGGCAGGGACATGCAGGGTGTGCTGAGCACAGTGTCTGCCCAAGGGGCCTGGATTCTGCACAGCCCTGGGCTCACATCTCAGCCTGGCTGAGCCAGCACAGTGCTGCTCCCACCCTGAAGCTCCAGCAGCCTGGAACAGGGTCCCTGGGGCTGGGCTCTAATTATCATCCCCTTCTCTCCTCCCCCAGTTATGTTTCGCCTCTATGACACCGATGGAAATGGGCTCCTGGACAGCTCGGTGAGCCTTCCCTTGGGACACAGAGCAGGGGCTGGGAACCTGCAGGACACTGCTGGGGTGTGCCCTGCCCTGCTGAGGGGCTCCACAAAGGGGCAGGGATGTGGGAAGGGAGGAGGAAAGCAGCAGCTGGGCTGCAGAGCTGGGAAAAAATCCACCCACCAAGAGCTGTAGCACTACATCAGGTCATGGTGTTTCAGGGAAGAAAAAATCATGCACAGCTCCTTCCCCTATGATGTTTTCTCCTTGTTCTTTGGGTATTGCCTGTGAAACCTGCTGCAAATAAAATCTGGTTGATCAGAATAGTTCTTCCTAAGGAAAACCTGTTACAGATTTTCTTGCAAGGCAGAAGGCCCTGAAAAAGGAAGGAGCACCCATTGAGGACTGGGGTGTTGCTGCCCCTCCTGTGTGGCTGGGACTGGGGTAGCCATGGGCATTTTGGGATATAGACCCTGGGGGCTTGGGGCTGGACACTCTGCTGATGCCTGGAGCTCTCCCTAACCCTGGGCACTGTTTTCTGTGTGTGTGTGTGCTTAGGAGCTGGATCGTATCATCAACCAGATGGTGCACGTGGCTGAGTACCTGGAGTGGGACTCCACCGAGCTGAAGCCTGTGAGTGCTGGGGCTGGAGGCACCAGGGGCAGCTGCAGGGGCTCTCAGCCAGAGCCCTGGCTGGCCTCACTGTCCCACACCACTTTTTGTGCCCCCCTCCAGATCCTGAAGGCCATGATGGAGGAGATAGACTACAACCACGATGGCACTGTGACGCTGGAGGAGTGGATCCGGGGCGGCATGACCACCATCCCCTTGCTGGTCCTGCTGGGCATGGAGACAGTGAGTGTCCCTGGGACACCTGGTCCAGCCTACCCCCAGCAACCAACCACACTCTCATGGAGCACCACACAGCCCACACTGCCCCCTTCACACCCAAATCTTTCCAAGTTAATTTTTGAGCTGCTGTGCCCAAGCAGGCTGGCCTTGCTCCTTGCCATGGCAGTGCACTCCAGTTGGGTGAACATTTAATCAAAGCCTAAAATGAGAAGGTCACAGTCACAGCTGCCCCTTGCCCCAGCCCCTGCCACCCCCTGAGGAAGGGCCCCTCTGCCATGGGGCATCCCTCCTGCATTTTAGGTACCTAAAATGGCATTTCCTCTTGTAGAGTGAGGCTTAAAGGGCAAAGGTGGGGTTGTTGGGACCCCCTTTATTTCTCTGTCTTGTTTTTTCATCCTTTTGGCCTTGATTTCTTTCAAGTGCACCCCTGGCCATCAGGTAATAATTTGCAGGGAAAGACGTGATGCCCATGGTTCCCCTGGAGAGGTGGGGTGGGGGACAGGCTTTCTGGCAGAAAAAGTCAAGAAAGCAGGGAATTTTGACAGGCTCCTGAAAAGCACTCATGCCTGGCCCCAGATGAAGGGGTTTGTGCTTTTGTCACCCCATGGTGGCAGTGGTGGCTTGGCCCCAAATGTGAGGTCACCTTCCTGTCAGCTGCCAAGATCTTCCCTGTGGCCGGGCTGTGCCAGGGGTCTGTGGGAGCTGGAGCTGGACGTGCCCAGGGGGATGCAGTGGCAGGGATGCTCTGGGGAGCACCAAGAGAGAAGGGAACAGGGGGAGCCCATGATCCTGCCAGGACCAAACTCCCAGAAACACCATGGGGGTTTTAGGGGGGAAAAAATTATTAAAACGATGGGCTGAGGGTGCTGGGATTCTTGGCAGCAGGGGAGTGACCTCCACCCTCCACTTCCTTGCCCTGCAGAATGTGAAGGACGATGGGCAGCATGCCTGGAGGCTGAAGCACTTCAAGAAACCTGCCTACTGCAACTTCTGCCGCACCATGCTGCTGGGGGTGCGCAAGCAGGGCCTCTGCTGCTCCTGTGAGTCCTGCCCAGAAGGTTGCACTCCCAGTCTGATGGCTCCTGCCACAGCCAGAGGTGCCCTGGGGAGGGGGGACTGGTCCCTGTTAGTGCTGAGCCCCGTGGGTGCTGCAGGAGGCTGAGAGGGGAGGGGGCAGCTGCCATGGTGGGAGTGATGCTGGCCACCTTGTTGGTGGCACTTGGGGTAGCGGTGCCCTGGCGGTGTTGGGGTAACAGCTGGACTGAAAATGGAATTATTTCAAACCCAAATGATTCTGTGGCTTTATGGTTTTTGTCTCTCACCAGTCTGCAAGTACACAGTCCACGAGAGGTGTGTGTCCAAAGACATTGCTTCCTGCATCAGCACCTATGTTAAATCCAAGAAAAACACAAGTGTGAGTAAGCAGCTGGTGCATTTCTGAGCCACTGGGTGTCCCAGTCTCCTGCTCTGCTTCCCCACAGCTTCTTCTCCTGGGTTTTGCTCCTCACATCCTGGGCAGCAGCTCATGGGCATTCCCAGCATCCAGAGCCTTGCAGGATGCACCCTGTCCCCAGTCCCCAGGCACCCACACCACCTCCAGCTCCAAGATTTGCTGTGGCTCTGCAGAGGGGCAGGATTGGATCAGCAGCATCCTGCAGGACAAGCTCCCAAAATCCTGACAGGCACCCTTAGCAGGAGGGAGGTGCCTGTGGGTCAGTGGGTGCTGTGCCACCGTGTCCCTGTGCCTTGCAGGTGATGCAGCACACCTGGATCGAGGGCAACTCACCTGCCAAGTGTGACAGATGTCACAAGAGCATCAAGTGCTACCAGGGCATCACGGGCCTGCACTGTGTCTGGTGCCAGATCACGGTGAGTACCCAGGGCTGGGCACACCCTCAGTGCCTGCATGGCCAGCTCTGGGCTCCTGCTCAGGGCAGGGCAGGTGTCCTCTGCTCTACATCCCTTCCTCCCACCCTTGCAGCTCCACAACAAGTGTGCCTCCCATGTGAAGCCAGAGTGTGATGGGGGCCCGCTGCGGGACCACATCTTGCTCCCATCCTACATCTGCCCAGTCGTCCTGGTAAGTGCCCCCCTTTGTCCTGGTGAGCACCTTCCTTATTCTGTAAAGTGTCCTGGTGAGTGCCCCCCTTGTCCTGGTGAGCGCCCTCCTTATCCTGTAAAGTGTCCTGGTGAGTGCCCCCCTTGTCCTGGTGAGTGCCCCCCTTGTCCTGGTGAGTGCCCCCCTTGTCCTGGTAAAGTGTCCTCCTTGTTCTGGTAAATTCCCCCCTTTGTCTCGGTGAGTGTCCCCCTCCTCACTGCCAGTGACAGGGACCCAGCAGGGCCCTGCTGAGGCTGCTGTGCCTCCCCTGGCTGCTGGCACTGCCTCGTGGGCAGGGTGGGCACCCACTCCTTGGTTCCCAAAGGACAGGCAGTCCCACTGCCGGCGCTCCGAGAGCGACTCCCCTGCCAGCACCAGCCCCGAGGACAGCCAGGCCTTCAAGTTCAACTCCACCACGGTGGATGGGCAAGGGCTGCAGGTAGGTTCCAGGTGCTGCAGGTGAGCTCTGCCCCTGAAAGCTGCACAGGCTGAGGAATTCACAGGTGCCTTTTCTGCCCCCCAGATCAGCCCTCAGCCCGGGACACACCCGCTGCTCGTGTTTGTGAACCCCAAGAGTGGAGGAAGGCAAGGGGAGCGGTAGGTGGGCTCCTGCCTGGGAACAGCACCCTCCTGGTGTGGGAATCACCTTCGTGCTGTTAGAAATGAACACTCCAATCTAATAATTAAGGAGGTTTATTAAATAATAAAAGTATACATTTGGAAAAAGCCACAAGCAGTTTCAACTCTGAGCCAGGCAATCAGAGTCAGGGAAACCCAGGATTTGGCCTCTGTTGCACCAAATCCCCGTGGGTGTCCAAATGTCATTTCTAATGTCTATTTCTAAACTAAAAATGTCATTTTTCATTTTATACACTCTTTTGGGCTCTGGAAGGGGCTTCTCTTTAGCATATTTTTGCATATTATTGTAGTTTTTCTTTCTTGCTGCCATGTTTCCTGGTGGATCATTGCTGGAATCCTGTCAGTGAAAACTTTCTAGGATAAACTTCTGATGATGCCTATACCTCCTGCTGGGGTCTTGTCAGACAAAAAAAATCCCTTGAAATGTACATCCCTGGAGACAGTCATCCTCCTGGTGTTTGAGTTTCTATGCTTATCACTTAGCTTATTACTGCTGGTTACCCAACACTGATTTTAGTACACAAAATGCTGTGGTTTTTCATTTCCTTTGGCACTAATTATTTTGTAACATATGTTAGAAATTATTTTATCACATACATGATGTCCCTGACGCCTCTCTCCTGCCAGGGTGCTCCGGAAGTTTCACTACCTGCTCAACCCACGCCAAGTGTACAACCTGGACCGTGGCGGGCCCACGCCAGGGTAAGGAGCTGCTGCTGCAGGGGATCCTGTCAGGGAATTCATCCTCAAACACCAGAGGTTTATGTCCAAAAAGGAGACAGAGGAGTCCTTCTGGCTTTATTCCAATAAAGGGAGAGGCCATGGGGCATTCCCCTGGGATGTCTCACATTTTTGGAGGATGCAGCCTCCCTTTTTATCCCAATTTCCTGGCTCTGCATTTCCCTTCTCTCTTTCCCCATTGGCTGGGGTACTTGAGAGGTACAGACTTCCCAAAACACCTGATACCAAAGATTTCCCTCTAATGTACAACCCTCCCTTTTCATTTTTAATTCTTACGGAATTTAGGGGGTTTCTTTCTTCCCCATTGTTTCTTTCATCTCTCAATGTCTAATTTCATTTATCAGCAAACCTAAAGTTTATTTGAAAAAGCAAATATCTTTTTCCATTCATCAGTCAGTGGAATCCTTCCCACTGTTTCTTTTATCTTCCAGAGCTAGTTTTACCTACCAGCAGACCCACAGCTTGTTTGTAAAGACAAATCTGCTATTTCTCTCAATGCTCTGCCCCCTCTCCCCCATCACCCCTTGTCTCTCCTGGCTTTCCCCAGGCTGAACTTCTTTCGGGACACCCCGGATTTCCGTGTGCTGGCCTGTGGAGGGGATGGCACTGTGGGATGGATCCTGGACTGCATAGGTGAGCCAGGCACAGCTGTGTTCCTGCTGAGCATCATCCTCCTGCATCCTTGGTGGTGGGCCACAGATTCCCCATGTTCCCCCAGGGAAAGTGGAGTGGTGATTGTGAAAAATGCCAATCACTTGTTTTTAAAATATTAAAAGTTTAATAGTAATAAAATGGTTATAAAAAATAGTAATATAATTAGAGGAATAATAATTTGGACAATTGGGATTAGGACAATATGAGACAATAGAAACAAAGAGTTACAGACAGTCTGGGTACCTTTTTCTGGGCAAAATAAGCCCAAAAAAGGACCCATGTTAACAGAGGATTAACCCTTAAAAGCAACAGCCTGTTGCATATTCATACACCTCATCCATGATGCATAAATGCCATTCAAACACAGGATTCTGTCTGGTCAGTGTCAGCTTCTTCCTCTGAATCCTGATGGTGTCTTCAGGACTGAGCAAGGCAGGAAGTTCATTTCTCCTGATAATGGAGCAATAAATTCCCTTTCTCTGAAAGATTCAGGTGTCCTGTGGCTGCTGTCTCAGTGCGAGTCCTTTCTTTAGGAAAAAAATATCCTACATAGCATAGTTTCTATTTTAACCTTTTGTTACAACCTAAAACTAAATTTAACACACTACTTAAGAGAATTAACACAGCATAACTTTCTAACACAACACATATAACATTCATTTTAATATTTGCGAAAAGCCAATCATAAAACACGCATTTTTCACTGTGACCCTTAGCCAGCAGCATCATTCCAGACTGGGAATGGGGCAGGGAATGAGCCTTGCCAGCCCCAAACCTCTCTTTTCTCTTCTCCCTTGCCCTGCAGATAAGGCCAACCTGGTGAAGCACCCGCCGGTGGCCGTGCTGCCCCTGGGGACGGGCAATGACCTCGCTCGGTGCCTGCGCTGGGGAGGAGGTGAGGACAGGACAGCCCTTGGGAACCCTTCAGCAGGGCCATCCCCAGGGGAGGGAGGGCTCCCAGGCTCCTGGGGTGCGGTTCAGAGCTGCATCTGAGCCTGGTGCCTCTCACTCCTTCCAAAAAGAGCAGCTGCTGCTCTCTGAACCCTCCATAGCTGGGTGTGGGAGCATCGGGGGTAGCACGGTGGGGATGGACAGAGAGCAGAGATCTCTGCAGCCAGGTCAGGAACTTGGGGTTCATTGCAAAGGGCCTGGGTGCAGGGCCCTGCTGGGAGCTGCCAGGCACAGCTCAGAGCAGGACTGAGAGAGGAGAGGGGAGAGAGGATGAGAGGGTGAGAGAGTAGGAGCATAAGGGAGTAAAAAAGGATAAGGGAGTAAAAAGGGCAAGAGAGCAAGGTTCCCATTACAATACCATAAATCTTCTTCTATGGTGAATATTCTGATTCTCACTAACCAATCCAGTACAAGATACAAATCCTATAGCATTTCCATACAGCCTGTAAGAATCACTACATTACCACACTGTGTTACATTTTAAACCCTACAAACTCCTCTTTGGGCCCCTTCTGCCAAGCTGGCAGGGTCTGCTCTGACCCTTGGAGCTGTCTGCAAGCAGAGGGTGCTGTTCCATCAAAAGGGGATTACCCTCAGCCAGCCACACCATTGTTTTCCAGTTGTTCAGTGACTGAGGTATCTCAAAGCTTGCTTTCATTTCAATCTCACTTATAGTTTCAATATTCTCAAAATCTTTTGCCAGGCAATCATATTTATAAGGCTTTCCTGTTTCATCTTCCCCAACAGCTGGGTCCTGCCCAAGCTTTTCCATTTGGAGAGCCCTGCCATGAGGCAAAATCTCTGCCACTGCTGGAAGGATGTGCCATTGCAGCACCCCCAGTGCTTGGCACCTGGCTGTGACATGGCTGTGCTCTCCTTCATCCTCCTTCATCCTCTTTCCCTTCCAGGCTATGAAGGAGGCAACCTGATGAAGGTGCTGAAGGACATAGAGCACAGCACAGAGGTGATGCTGGACCGCTGGCACATCGACATCATTCCCACTGACAGGGAGGCCAACGGGGATCCTGTCCCATCCACCATCATCAACAACTACTTCTCCATTGGGGTGGTGAGTTCCATGGGGCAGGAGTTGGTTTCTCCCTCCCTGTTCCTCCTTGCTCACTCTCCCAACCTCCCTCCATCCCCTGGGGTTGAGTTTGCAGGCAATCCTGACAAGGGAAGAGATGAGAATCTTGACTCCATGTTTCAGAAGGATTATTATTATTATTATTATCATCATCATCATCATCGTCATCATCATCTATGATATATATTATATTAAAAGAAAATTATATATTAAATCTCTACTAAAAGAATAGAAGAAAGGATTTCATCAGAAGGCTAGAAAAGAAAAGAATAGAATGATAATAAAATCCTGTGACTGCTCACAGCCTCGACATAGGTGGCTGTCATTGGTCATCAAGTAAAAACAATTCACATGCTGGGTAAACAATTCTCCAAATCACATTCCAAAGCAGCAAAACATGGGCAAGCTAAAGCTTCTCAGGACAAAAAATTCTAATGAAAGGATTTTTCAGAAAATATGTCCATGACATCCTGGTTTTGTCTTTTTTTCTGGTTTTATTGTCATTTGTGAAGGCAGCACCAAGACACATGAGCAGGCATGGGATCTCTATCTTCCCAGCAGGAATGTTGCAAGAATGAGTGTGAAGGGAGTTTAAAAAGGGTTCAGGAAAGGTTGGGGTGCCAAAGACAAGGACACCCCACCTGCCAAGACATCAGCAAAGCCCTGCTTTGGTGTTTGGACCCATGTTCCCCCACATTTTCCTGACCTAGGGAGACTGGGGAGCCTGGGGGTGGTGACAGCCCTGTGCCATGGGGCCAGTCCTGAGAGCAGCAGTGTTTTGGGGAAAGCCCCTCTCTTCCCAGGGGCTTGCAGCACTTTTGTGCTGTGCCATGGCAGGGGTCACTCACCTGCAGCTCTGCAGGATGCTCCTGGGCTCACAGTGGCTCCTGCTAATGCAGGTGGCATTTGGTGACAGGGCTTAAACACCCCCCCTGTGCACAAGGAGAGGTTGGGATGAGTTTCAGGAGAGCTGCCATCCTCTCAGGGTGCAGGGTCTTGGGGTGTCCCCAGAGCCCCACTGCTCTATTGGTTGCCTTTTCTCCCCTCTCATCATCCTCTCCATGCAGTGATGAGGGAAGGAGGCCCTGTGCACTAATTAAGTCCCACCTAACAAGCTTTGGGAAGAGCCTGGCTGAGGGTTTCTCCATCACCTTGGGCTATCAGTGTCATCCTCTGTGTCACTGTGCCACAGGGACCAGCATGAAGAGCTGAGCAGCCCTGCCCTGGCTCATGGCCAGGGGGCACAGGGTGTGGGTTCTCTTTGTGTTTCTGTGCCTCTGATGTCTCTGTGCTCCCCACAGGACGCCTCCATCGCCCACCGCTTCCACATCATGAGAGAAAAGCACCCCGAGAAATTCAACAGCAGGTGAGGGCTCCCCAAGGACCCCCTGAGAGCTGGGGGGTGTGGGGAGACCCCCTGCCCCAGCACCCCATGCAGCATGCCAGGAGGGTTTGGTGTTTGTCCAGCCTGAGGGACAGGCACCAGCCTGGTGGGGCTTTGGGATGCTCCTTCAAGTCCTGTGCGGTGTAGCAGGCTGCTCAAAGTCAGCCACACCCCCAGTTAGGTTCATTCATGCTTTATAATTAGTGTGGAATGCCAGGACAGGCAGGAGCAGGCCGGGCAGGGAGGGCAGGGCAGGCAGCAGGTCACAGCTCGTTCCTGCTGTGCTCAGGAAATGTGCTCAGCAGGAGCTGTGGCTGGTGATCCCCTTCCCAGGTTTAGAAATGCTTCTAGAAAAATCCCAGAGTGGACCAAAATGTCTGGCTGTGCCCCCAAGTTAGCCCCTTTAGGATGACAGCTCTCACAGCTCCCCCTCCAAGCCTGGCCCAGCAGCTGATGCAGGGAGTGAGCCACGGTCAGGGGGTGCTGAGGGCTGGGACATCCCCTCCAGAGGGTGCCCTGTGCTCTGACAGCACATCCCATGCCCTGGGAGCACCCAGCACCCCCGTCCTCCCCCTATGATGGGTGCCAGAGCCCCCAGGCACACCCTGGGCCCTCCCTAGGGCCAGCATCCCTCTCCACAGTGGCTTGTGTCCTCACCCATGGCTCGTGTCCCCATCACAGCAGCTCCATTCAGTCTCTGGCAGTCTGTCCTGCTGCTGGCTGGGGTAGGATGCTGCTTCCAGGTGGGATCCTGACATGTCTCTGTGCCCCAGGATGAAGAACAAGCTGTGGTACTTCGAATTCGGGACCTCAGAGACCTTTGCAGCCACCTGCAAGAAGCTCCATGACCATGTTGAGGTTGAGGTGGGTTCCCTGGCATGGCCCCTGGCTCTGGCCATGGCACAAAGGCTTTTTGGAGCCATTGCCCATGGATCCCTCAGCTGTTTGAGGAGAGGGTGCCACCACTTTGACCCCTCACTGTTGCTGTCAGGACCCCTTATTGCACCACACAGCCCTGGCTACAAAGCCAGCCAGCTGTGGGCAGAAGAATAATCCTGTATTCCCCACTTCCAGCTGTATTTGAGAGCATGCCTGGAACATTCTCCCTGTAAATTCTGCACTGCTCCCAGCCCTCATTGGATGACATGGAAACAGCCTTTAATTAGAGCTGGGAGGAGGGCCCGTGGTTGCTAAGAGTGCTGTCACTTCTCTGTGCTGGGGATTTGGGCTGTAAACTTCCATCTCTCCCTATCTCTGGATAATCCACCCTTTTATAACTTAGGCTGGAGGGTGAGGGGAGGAAATAGCACTTGCCAAGAGCTGGTGGGTGCAGGGTGCTGGTGGTGGGCACAGAGCAGAGCTGGCACCGCAGAGTGTGCCCATGGGCAGAGGGATTTGGGTGCCTCTTTCTATACAGGGAGTTTCTTCCCTTCCCAAAGCCTGGGCTGGGTAGCTGCACCCTTGGAAACTTGTGGGAAGGGGCAGGAGCAGCATCACAACCATCTCACCCCCTTCCCCATCCATGCTGGCATGTCCCAGGGTGGATAAAATCCGTGTTTGAGGAGTTGAGTGCTGCTGGAGATGGGCACGAGGTGCCCCCTGTTCCATCTCAGGGTGCTCCCCAGCAAGTGTGCATGCCCAGCAGCCGAGCCCACGGGCAGGAAAGGGTTAATCCCGCAGCATTTGGAGTTGAAAGGAGCCGCCTGTCCTCCCTCCAGCTCCCAGGCAACTGTCAGCCTCGCCGAGAAATAGCAGTTTTGTTTTGGAAATTGGCACTCCTTCCCCCTACAACTCCTGGAAATGAATTTGCTTTTTCCCCCAGCTGCAAATTTCTCCTTCCAGCCTCGCTGCCGTCAGCTGCCCCTGCTCAAAGGGCCCATTGTGGCTCCCTGGCAGGAGCAGGAGCAGGGAGGGCTCTGCAGGGAGAAGCCAGAATCCAGAATCGCTCCTGCCCGCGGCTCTGGGCGGGCGTGGGCGGCTCTGGGCAGGAACAGGCTCCTGCTGCAGCATCCCAGCATCCCAGCATCCTGCACTCCTGGCAGCCAGCTCCCACCCCATCCACCCCACCCCATCCCATCCCATACACCCCATCCCATCCCATCCATCCCATCCCATACACCCCATCCATCCCATCCCATCCCATCCCACCCACCTCATCCCACTGATCCCATCCCACCCCACCCATCCCATCCCATCCATCCTACCCCACCCCACCCCATCCATCCCATTCCATCCCATCCCACCCCATCCACCCCACTGGTAGCCACTGCTCAGAGCATTGAGGTCTTTTCTCCCCCTACAAATCACAATATCATTACATTGTATTGAGAACTTAGGGATTAACATCCTTTCCAAGCCTTGGAGAGACAGCTCTTCCCTCCCAAACCAGAAGATTCCTGCTTTTTTTTGCTTTTTTTTGCTTTTTTTTGCTTTTTTTGCTTTTCTTGCTTGGCTAAAAATAAGATCCTGCAGCACCAAGGGAGGCAGGAAGGATCTGACACATGGAGGTGTGAGCACCCAGCTCCTCACACACAGGGTTGGAGTCCTCAGCAATGGCCAGAGGGGTGGGAAAAATCAGCTCCAGACCTTTGTTCAAGGAAAACCCCCAGAACTGGAGCAGCTCATCAGCCCATTTCGTTCCTCTCAGCACAAGAAGGGGTGTCAGGGGTGTCTTTGCATCACCAAAATGCAAGGAAAAAGCTGTGCTGGGATTTGCTGAGGCACAGGGTGGCAGGTAAAGAGCAGATGCCTCAAGGAAAATAGGAATGTTTTATAGAAATTCGAGCTGGATGGAAAAGTGGCTGCTTTGACCAGAGGTGTTTAGGAAGGGGATCCATGTCTGGGGAGTGTGAGAAGAGCTGAAGTTAAGAAATGCATTTCCATGGCTTTCAGTTCTGTGGGAAAGCTGCAGGCAATGGATATTTTAACTTTCACAGGGAATTTTCAGCCCTGCTGCATGACAGCAAAGCCTGAGATGCCAGTTCTGTGTGCTGTGCTGTGCTTTGCTCTCCAAAACCTGACATTTTCCCTCTGACACCTTCCCCTAATTTCCTTCCAGCTTTATTTCTCTTTTCCAAATGGCTCTTGAAGACAAACTGGTGTGAGCTACATTTTGGGCAGCCAAACTTTCCAGTCCTTTGGAGTAGTTTGGATAAGGAGAGGGGGAAATCAGGTGCTGGAGCTCCTTGGGTGGAAGCTGCTTTAGGGTCAGGGTGGTGTGACCGTGTTCACAGGGGCCTTAGGATGAGGGAAGAGATGAGGATCTGACTCCATGTTTCAGAAGGCTGATTTATTATTTTATGATATATATTACATTAAAACTATACTAAAAGAAGAGAAGAAAGGATTTCATCAGAAGGCTAGCTAAGAATAGAAAAAGAAAGAATGATAACAAAGGTTTGTGGCTCAGACTCTCTGTTCAAGCCAGCTCACTGTGATTGGCCATTAATTAGAAACAACCAACATGGACCAATCCCAGATGCACCTGTTGCATTCCACAGCAGCAGATAACCATTGGTTACATTTTGTTCCTGAGGCCTCTCAGCTTCTCAGGAGGAAAAATCCTAAGGAAAGGGTTTTTCATAAAAGATGTCTGTGACAGGGTGGTGTTGCCTCCCATTTTGGGTGACAGCACCAAGTCTAGCCAAGGTTTTATGTGCTCCCCCAGGAATTTCCTTTTTGAAGCTGACATTTTGGACTTGTGGTAAAACTCCTATGGAAGCAGAGGGGAGAGCAGCACAAGGAGTGTCAAGGAGTTGACAATAAATCTAGGAAAAAGTGAGGGGGGTATTTGCATCTTGCATATTTGGCCTCAGCCACTCTGGAGCTGCCAGTGTCCCCTGGAGCCCACCCAGTGTCACACAGTGCTCAGGGAGCCACATTTCCATGGCAGGGAGAGGAGGGGGCTCCCTGTGGCGGGCACAGCTCCCCCTGACACCCCCCATGTCCCTGGCAGTGTGATGGGACCCTGCTGGACCTGAGCACCACATCCCTGGAGGGCATTGCTGTGCTCAACATCCCCAGCATGTACGGGGGCTCCAACCTCTGGGGAGAGACCAAGAAGCAGCGTGGCTACAACAGGCTGGGCAAGAAGGTGCCAGACAAGGTGCCAGGCACGGTGGTCACTGATGCCAAGGAGCTCAAGTTCTGCGTGCAGGGTGAGTGGAGGGCACCAGGGGAGGGTGGGGGCAGCACAGGGGCACTGGGCAGCACCAGCCATCATCTCTGGATTAGCAGCAGCAGCACTGGAGGAGTTTGATCAGCTCTGTGTTTTTTGGGCTCAGCTCTGTGTCTTTTGGGGTCACTCCTCTGTATGGCAGAGGGAGAGCTGGAACCCAGCAGCAGAGCTGGCTTTTGCCAGCACCTTGCCAGGCTCCAGAAGCACTGCCAGCCTGGATGTGGGGTTTGGGAGCAGCAGGACCCACACTGAGCCCAGCTGGCACCTCCCAGCCACTGCTGAGGCCACCAGAGCCACCCCTGTGGGCAGGGACAGCCCAGAGCGCTGGCAGTGGGGAGCAGAGGGGTACAAAACAGCAAAATCCACAGAGTGCCTGGGTTTTGCACCCAGCAGCTCCCACAGCCTGGGGCTGGGCTGGGAATCAGCCCCCCAGAGCAGCAGTGTCACATCCCTGGCTGTCACTGTCCCTTGCTGCCTGAGGCAGTGGCAGCAGGGAGTGGGATACAGGGCAAGGCAGCCCCAAAGGGCTGCAGGGGACAGCAGGGCTGCTGCCCTGGGGACATCCCCACTCCCAGGTGGGTAAAGGGTGTGGGAGGCTCAGAGGATCCCTCACAGGGCTGATGTGAAAGGGGACCCTGAGGCAGAGCTGTGCCATGGCCTGGTGTCCTTGCTGGTGGCCCAGAGGAGCAGGATGAGCTGGGAGAAGAGGCCATCCCCTGGGATTTGACCAGATCCTCTGACACATGTGCTGGCTTCTGGGTTTGACCAGATATTCTGCCACATGTGCTGGCTTCTGGATTTCACCAGATATTCTGCCACATGTGCTGGCTTCTGGGGAGCTGCAGCCCCCCGGGGCAGCCAGGCAAGGGGTGTCATCCTTTCATACACTGCAAACAAACAGTGCAAGGGCTGGTGGGGATCTGGGCTGGCACCGTGCAGACCCAGGTGCTGTTTCAGAGTTTTCCTCCTAAGATTTTGGCTAGCAGCGTTGCCCAGTGCTGGAAACACCCAACTTGGTGGTCTCAGGACACAGAGGACATCAGGATAAATCCCTTCGGTGCCTCCAGGACAGCTAGCAGCCCCGCTGTGCTGGCCCTGAGGTTTCCAGTGAGGGCAGGAGGAGGGGGATTCCTGCTCAGACCCCTGTGTCCTGCAGATCTCAGCGATCATCTCCTGGAGGTGGTGGGGCTGGAAGGCGCCATGGAAATGGGGCAGATCTACACGGGGCTGAAGAGCGCGGGGAAGAGGCTGGCCCAGTGCTCCTCCGTCATCATCAGGTATTTGTCCCCTTCACAGCGAAACCTGACCCCCGTGTCGCCGAAACCTGACCCCCGTGTCACCAACTTCCCTCCCTTGTGCCTTGCAGGACGTCCAAGCTGCTGCCCATGCAGGTGGATGGGGAGCCCTGGATGCAGCCCTCCTGCACCGTGAGTGCCCAGCGAGGGGCAGGGGCTGGGCATGGGGCAGAGGGGGTGGCAGGGGGTGGGGATTGGGGAGAGGGGCTGGTAAGACATGGGGATGGAGAGAGGGGCTGGCAGGATGTGGGGATGGGCACCAGGGGCTGGCAGGATATGGGGATGGGCAGGAGGGGCTGGCAGGGTGTGGGATGGGCAAGATGGGCAGCAGGGCTGGCAGGGTGTGGGATGAGTGGCAGGGGATGGGTAGCAGGGGTGGCAGAGTGTGGGATGGGCAGGATGCGCTGGCAGGGTGTGGAGATGGGGTAGCAGGAGCTGGCAGGGTGTGGGGATGGGCAGGATGGGTAGCAGGGGTGGCAGAGTGTGGGGATGGGCAGGATGGGTAGCAGGGGTGGCAGCACAGCGGGCTGGGACAGCCTTGGCTCCTGCTGGCAAAGCTGCTGGGTTTGGAGGGAGGCTGGTGCTGGCTTTGGAGGGAGCCTGGTGCTGGCTTTGGAGGGAGGCTGGTGCTGGCTTTGGAGGGAGCCTGGTGCTGGGTTTGGAGTGGCTGGTGCTGGGTTTGGAGGGAGCCTGGTGCTGGGTTTGGAGAGAGCCTGGTGCTGGCTTTGGAGGGAGCCTGGTGCTGGCTTTGGAGGGAGGCTGGTGCTGGCTTTGGAGAGAGCCTGGTGCTGGCTTTGGAGGGAGCCTGGTGCTGGGTTTGGAGGGAGGCTGGTGCTGGCTTTGGAGGGAGCCTGGTGCTGCTGCTGCTGGGTGGCCACAGAGCTGAGCTGTGACTCCGTGCCCTGCACTCTTGTCACTCCCATTCTTGCTGGATGGGCCCAGCAGCATTCCTCTCTGGGGAGCTGCAGCAGGGTCCCCTTCCATTTCTCCTCTTCCTCTTCCCATCCCAGCAAGACCTGGATGTGATTCCAGAGCTCTTCACTCGGTGCTGAGCTGCTCCCACCTGCATGGGGTCACTCCTGAGGGTCCTGGGGCTGGAGGGTGCCTGGGAGGGCTCAGGCTCCTCTTACTGAGCTGGGTTTTTCTGCTTCTTTTTAGGTGAAAATTACCCACAAAAGCCAGGTGCCCATGCTGCTGGGGCCCCCACAGAAGAGCAGCTTCTTCTTCCTGAAGAGGAGGAACCGAACTCGGGATTAAAGCATCACCCAAGGACCCACAGCCTGGAGCATCCCAGCCACCTGGGGATTATTTATCCTGGGAAGGTCTTGTAGGCTCCTTCCTGATCACCAGAAGCATCCTCTCAAGCTGGGATGGAAGAAGGGGGAGAAGGCAGGCTGGAGCAGTGAGCACATTTGCTAGAGCAGCACTAGGACTGGGATTTTATTTTTTTTTTCCCCTTTATTTAAATTCCCTCCAGCCAAGCTGCCAGTGAATGTGCTCCTGAGGCAGCACTGAGCTCCATTTATTTATTTATCCTCCTCCTGAAGACCACTTGATGTCTCACTGCAGTGGCTTTGTCCCCCAGTCCTTGCAATGGGAGGAATTATTTATTTTTTGAGCCCAGAGGAGCCATCTCAGGCACTCACCTCTGTGCTGTGGGGTTTGAGAGAGATGCAAGAGCCATTGCTGCCAGCCCAGTGAGCCACAGGCTGGGGACAGACAGTGCACAGGGACAAGCCTGGGGTGGATGGCAGGAGATTGTGTTTTTACAGGGAAATGGCAAAAAAAGGGATTTTGGGGGGAAGCAGCCCCAGCTCTGGGCTTTGTGTTCATATTTATGTATTTATTTAGCAAACTTTGGACAAAAAAGGGACTCTAGGGGTCACCTTTATAGGAGCCCAGACACAGACACCACCTCCCTTCTCTGCTGGACTTTTCCTCTCTCCTGAATCCTGCCAGCCTGTCCTGGGGGCTGGAGACCCTGGGCACAGACATCCAGAAACTCTTCTCCCTGGAAGGTGTCCCCAGCACCTTTTACACATCTCCCAGTGTGTTCTGCCAGGCTGGTGCTCCCCCTGTGCTGCCCCTGGTGCTTGCACCTCCCTTTCTCTAGGGCCAGCTCTCCCCACTGCCCTCTCCAACCCCAGGAAGCCTCATAGGTGATGGCAGCTGGGATACACAGGCAGGTCTTGGTGGCATCACCCATGGATGCACAGAGCAGGGCATGCAGTTTCTCTCCAGGGACCAAAAGGAATGCCAGGAGTTTGTGGTGTCTGGATGCACTCCCAGGGGCCAGGAGCTGGCAAGGGTGGCCATGGGAAGGGGCCAGCAGTCACCCAGTGCCTCCAGCAGTGGCCTGCATGCAGGATACAGCCACATCCTGAATTAAACCTGCCCCCAGGCTGCTCCCTTGGGCTGGTGGAGGCTCCTGTGCCGCTGGGAGCAGGAAAACTCCTGCTTGTCCCCTGCCACAGGGTTGGGACAAGTCCCCCTGTCCTCCCCAGTGCCCACTCAGTCCCTGCTGATGCTGCAGGTCCCCCTTCAGCAGCATTCTGTGGCAGAGGGTGCTGCCAGCACTGCTCCACAGGGGCTGGGAGGGACTTGCTGGTGCCCTGTGTGCACAGGCATCAATCTGTCACCACCGTGCATCAATCCACTGCTGTTCTCCTCCTCCTCCTCCTCCTTGTCCCCCAGGGCAGCTGTTTATGAGTAGCCAGGTGAAAGCAGATGGAGCAAGGCCAGGCAAAGCCCAGCTGCCTCCATCTGCCCAGCCCATTGCCAAGGGCAGCAGAGCCTCACAGCCCCACCCCGGGGGAGGGTGACAAAGCCACCTCAGCCACCTGCAGAGCTCTGCCAGCAGGAGGGTGACAATCTGTGGGATGGCAGCACACGAGGGCAGCAGGTTTGGTTCCATTTCCCTGCCCAGCCAGCCTCAGGGCAGGGTTGTTTTGTCCCGGATGGGGAATCAGCAGTGCATGAGCAGTCAGCTGTGGTTTCCCTGCCCCTTGCCCCTGTCTCAGTTTGCTGGGCTCGGGGCAAAGAGCAGCACTGGGGGCTCTGCTGAGCTTTGCTGTCTGTGCTGGCGGAGCTGGGAGGGCACTGAGCCTGTCCCTGCTCCCTTGGGCTGGAATCCAGGGCTGAGCACTCAGCCACGTCCTGCAGGGCACAGGGACCCCAGGGCCACCCCTCTGGGCCATGGGACGGTGACACACACCAGCAGCACTCTGCCAGGCTCCAGCCCAGATGTCCCCTCTGGCGGCCAGGGAGGTGATCCCTGCCCCAGGGGCTCCATCTGCTCCCACACTGCCAAAGGCACGGTCCAACAGGCCTGCCAGCCCCCACCTCCTCAGCCTGATGGGGCAAAGCTCCTGAGCCCAGCAGGGACCAACAGGGGCTGGGATTGCAGCTCCCACCTCCTTATCCTGATGGTGCAAAGGTCCTAAACCCAGCAGGGACCAACAGGGGCTGGGATTGCAGCTCCCACCTCCTTATCCTGATGGTCCTGAGCCTAGCAGGGACCCATAGGGGCTGGGATTGCAGCTCCCACCTCTTACCCTGATGGTGCAAAGGTCCTAAACCCAGCAGGGACCAACAGGGGCTGGGATTCCAGCTCCCACCTCTTACCCTGATGGTCCTGAGCCCAGCAGGGACCCCCAGGGGCTGGGCTCCATCCCAGCTGTCCCTGGTGTAGGGAGGATGAAGCCATTGCAGCTGGGGGGCACCCGAGGCCTTCACCCCCCCATTCCCCAGTGCCTCCCAGTTCAGCCCAGCTCCCAAGGGCGTGGGGTGGAACCAAACCCCCAAACGAGCCCCTGGGCACTGGGGAGCCCCAGCTGGAGCCCCAGGAGCTCAGCCCAGTCCCTGTGTGTGTGTGTGTGTGTGTCCCGTGCTGGTGCATGGAGTGGTGTCCGTAGCGCGTCTTGCCGTGTGCACCCGGGTGCTGTGGCCTTGCCTCCAATAAAGATGGTCATGAACTCCTCAGCTGCTCCTGGCCTGCATGGGGGTCATTCCTGGCCAGGTGTGGCCCTCTGGGGACCCACAGAGACGGTGCCACTCCAGGCTGCCGGGGCTGAAGGGGTGCAGGCAGCACAGCAGCCATGGAGTGGTGCTCAGTGCGAGCTGCATCCGGCTAAATTTGGAGCCTGCAAAAAAAAAAAAAAAAAATTTTTTTTTTTTTTTCATCAGTGGGGGCTAAATTTAGCAGGCACCGGTCACCATCCCCCCCCCACCACCAGCAGCCCTGGCTCTCCAGGGGTTTCAGCTCTTCCTGTGAGCTCCCACCCGCCTGTCCCACGGCTGGCACCTCTGCATGTCCCCAGGGTGCTGAGCAGCCCCCAGATCTGCAGCTGCCCTGGGCTCCCTGTTGTGCCCCCAGCTCTGCAGGGACCCCCTGATCCCCAGTGCCCCCCGTGCTCCCCAGGCTGGGTTTTGCCACCTGCCCTCCCATGTGTCATCTGCTAATTTTACCTGCAGTGATTTCATCGCTTGCCTCTGTGCAGAGGGGAAGTGAGAGCCTGCAGAGCCCCCAGGAACGGGCTCTGAGCAGCAAGGACACCCCGTGCCCTCTGTGCTTCCTGCCCCCAGCAGCCCCCCCATCATTCCAGCCGGGACACGCTGGCACATGAGCTACCTGCCATGATCCCTGGGGCTGGAGGTGGCCCTGGGGGACTCTGGGAGCTCATGAGTGACCCAGCATCCACAGAGCAGCTCCCTCCAGCAGCTGGGCAGCTCGCCCAGGACACTGACAAGCCCATGAGCGAAGCATTTCAAGCTGGCCAGGACATCTCTGTACTGACAGGCTTCTGAATCCCTGGGCAGCTTCCCAGGATCTGAGCAGAAGGTTCCTCTCCTTCCCAAGCTGAGATGTGCAGTGTGTAACCAAACACCTTGTTTTTGCCTTCTCCAGCAATTGCTTCCTAGTCTCCCTCCCCAGCAATGTGAGGCCTCCCCACAGCCCATTTATCCTGTCCCTGAGCAGCCACTGCCAGCTCCCCACGGCGGGTCTCACCCCCTTCTTACAGGTAGGGAAACTGAGGCACTTAGCAGGGAAATGCTGCAGTGAGGGGCCTGGCAGGCACCCAGCAGCTCCATTGTGTCCTAAATTCCTTCCCAGACCTCTGGGACGTTTGGTGTCCTTCAAGGGTGTGTGTCCATGGATCTGCTTGGAGGGATCCATGGCTCCAAAGCCCTTGCAGGTAGGAACTATTTTTCCCATGCCCCTTTTTAAAGGCAGCCATGGCTGCAGGGCAAGGCTGCCGAAATCAGTACTCAGGCTTGGCTTAGCCCTGGGCTCGCACGGACGCTGCCTTGTTTGTGTGAAACCACAACCCAAGAAAGCAGAGGGGACCCCACGGCCTGTGAGGCCCGAGCTCCGCGCCATCTGCGTGCCTTGCTGTGTGCCAGCTTCTTGGGCACGTTGTGCACCGACCCGCTCCTTCTCTCCTCGCCACCCTGAACCCGGAGCCGGGGTGTCCCCCTCAGTTCTCCCTCCCCAAGGCCGCCCGTTGAAGCCCCATCCCCGCTCCTGCAAGGGGCCGCGGCCCCTTTAAATCCTGCGCGGCCCCGGCCCCACCCGTCAGTCTTTTCCCCCTTCTATTTTTTTATGAATGAAAAACGTTCGGGGCGGAGCCATGCAAATCCCCGCGCGCCCACTGGTTGTCTCCGCCCCCGCCCACTCAGCCGTTCTCAATGGTGCTCGGCGGAGCGGCGCGCGGGCGGGCGCGGGGCGGCCCCGCAGCCAATCAGGTGGCGCGGGCGGCAGAGCGGCGGCACGCCATTGGCCGGCGCGGAGGGTAAACAAGCGGCGCGGGGCGGGGCGTGGCGGAGGCCGCTGGCTCGGGGGCTGCGGGCCGGCGCAGAGCGGCAGCGCGGTGCCCGGGCTCCGAGAGGCGCCGCTCCATCCCCGGCCCCGCTCCCGCCTCGTCCCGCCGCCGCTGAGGCTGCGGCGCCCCGGCCGGGTAGGTGTGGGCCTGGCGGCGGGGCGCAGCGCGGCCGGGGCCCGGGCCCGGGGCGGGGGCGGTGTTTATGAATGGCGCGGGCCGCGCGGCGTGAATGGCGGGGGGCGCGCGCCAGCGGGCGCTCGAGCGCGCGCTCGGGAGAGAAGCGCGGGGAGGGGAGAGGAGGGGAGGGGGGGGGCGGAGTTTATGAATGGGGCGCGCGGGGTGGCGTGGGAACGAGCCCGGCTGCGGTGAGGGGCGGGGGAAGGGAAGGGAAGGGAAGGGAAGGGAAGGGAAGGGAAGGGAAGGGAAGGGAAGGGAGGCGAAGCGAAGCCAAGCGCGGCCCTCCCCGCTGCCTCCTCCCGCTCCTACGGCGCGTGATGTCACGGCCGTTTCTATAGAAATTAGGTGACATCACGAGCCGGGGGGCTGCGACCCGCCACGACAGGAGCGGGCCGGCTCCCCGGGGAGGCGTGGCGGCACCGAGCCAGCCCCGGGGGTGGCAGGGGCCACGGTGTGACCCCTCCCCGTCCCCTCCACCCCCCAGCCGCGCACCTGCCGGAGCCCGGGCGGGACCCCCCTTCCCGGGCCGGCGTCGATGCTGAGCGGGCCGGGGGCACTGCCCGCTTCGCCCGCACCATGGACGGCTTCTACGACCAGCAGGTTCCCTTCATGGGCCCCGGGGTAAGTTTGCGCACCCTGATCCCCCCGTTGACAAGTTCCTCCGCGACCTTGGGGACACCCCTTCCCCATCCTCGGGTCACTCATTCCTCATCCTTGGGAGTGCCCCCCTCGTCCTTGGGGGCTGCCACCCTCACGGGCAGCTGTCGCCCTGTTCCTTGCAGAAGTCCTGCACAGAGGAGGGCCGAGGCCGGCCGGGGTCCGATAGGAAAAGGAAATTTTTGGAGACTGACCTGGCCCATGACTCGGAAGGTAGGCAGGGCTGGCCCCGTGAGACCGTTGTTTTAGAAATAATCC